TCATTGAAACAAGAACTGCTTCCGGATCATACAAACCTTGAAGAACCAAATTGTGAACCACAACGTTCGTGGTAGACGAAGTAACAATGATATCATGTGTGATCGAAGCTATTTCGAGCATGTCAACCGTCCAAACACTCAACATGGTGGTGACCAAGAAACAGGTACTATTAACAACTATTGTTTTTATAAATTAAATGTATTTCTTCCGGTAGCTTTACTAATAATTGACTTTTAATTTTGTGAAACAGATCCGTGTGACATTAGTCAATGCAGGCATTTAGACCAGCATTCGGGTCCGATGTTACCTTATATCACGTCGTGGAAAGATGTCATTGGTGATGGGAACTGTGGCTTTCATTGTGTGGCCGCCTTCTTATTTGGTGATCGGGCACAATGGTTTGACGGTCAAGAAGCAATAGCAAAGGAGATCGCCGGTCATCCTCGGTTGTACGAACGGATTTACGGGATTCGACGACTTCGAATGACATGGAGCGTATTCGATGGGATGGTGGGGCCGTTGGGGAGCGGCATTGGATGGTAACAATTCAAAATTTGTTTCCTATTGCTACTTGGTTCAACACAAGGGTGATTTTTCTAGGTTTAGGCCTAGTACGAACTTGCTACTACTCATGCATCATAGTGTTACCGCTGAGGGCACAGAACGGGGTCCGAACACCGAGTCAAGATTTCATGATTGCTACAGTTGGTGGGTCACATTTCATCTGTCTTGACCTTGACCTTGCACCTGATTCACCTCATCTGTCAATCGCTAGTGGTGGACTGAGCACCACGAAGCTAGTGTTGAGTAAATCCAGTCAACTCATCCAGAGTCATATCCCTAGTAACCAAGCACGCTAGGTATAGTAGTAACCATTTTACCATCGACACGTAGCCCAAGAATGTTGTACACATCGTGCAACATGATCTTGATTCCCCAGATGGCATATGAAATGTGTTTCATCTCTCAACAAAAGTAAGAAATCCACGGCCAATCAAGTTTTTTAAACATAAGCCCGGGTAAGTGAGATAACCGACTGCCATCAATCAATTTGAAGTTCTCCACTAATTAACGGCCTCTCCACTGAACCAATTCAGACATTACTTTGACTTACTCAAACACCGCAAAACACTACGCTTCTGCTTGACACATATATATGACACCACGTGACCACCAAAACTTGGGATAACAATCCCATCCTCGGGACCACATGGCATCTGCACTAACCATCCATGTCTATACCGAACTGGTAGTAGGCTGACTCGATTGACTACAACCTGACCCTATATACCATTTGATAATCCCGAGGGTCCGATTCTTCATCCCAATCACCGGCATCACTAGCCGAGTCTTTGTCCTCCTCGTCAGATGTAAGTAGTAGTAGTAGTAGTCCACCTTGCGAATACATGGGCCGACTACTTCGAGACCCATATTGCTGCTCGAGCTAAAGCGCTAACCCGGTCATTACTGAACAAAACGTCTGTCTGTCTCATCCCCGCATTCAAACATCGTGATATTGCATGACGAGCAGTAGAACTCTCAATCTACATTAAATAAGTACAAAATCAAATATTAGCAATGATTACAAAAAATAATAACATAATACACACTAACACTAATCATAATAACAACAACAACAACAACAATCACAATAACAACAACAACAATCACAATAACAAAAAAACACATTAACAATAAAAACAACATAATAATAATAATAATAATGTTTCAAAAAAAAAAAAAAAATTACTAATAATAATAATATTAAGGTTTAAAAAAAAATAATAATAATAATAATATTACTACTAATAACAATAACAATAATCATAACACCAACAACAATAACAATAACAATAATCCTACACACAATAACATAATAACGATAACGATAACAATAACAATAACAATAATAATAACAAAATCATAATAATAACAAAAATAAAAATGATAATAAAATTACTAATAATAACATTAATCATTATAATAACAATAATCAAAATAACAATAACCATACTACTAATAACATTACTAATAATTATAAATCATGTATTTTAACAATAATCATAATCACAAATAGTTTTTAAAACTAAATTATTCACGAAGATAAAAAAAAAATAAAAAATACAGAATTCTAGAACATCCGCCTGGAATTTCCCGAGGATCCAATCCACCTGAAATTTCTAGAAAAACCAATGAGGATCTAGAAATTGCAGGTTGATCCTCCTTGGGTTTTCCTGATTTTCTGGGCGGAAGTTCTAGGTTCCGATTGTGGTTTTTTTTTAACTTTACCTGCTTGCCGCCGCCACCAACACTGTCGCTGCCCAAGCTCCTTCCGCCGTACGTCATCCTTATGCGCCGCGGATCAACCATCCCTTTGTCATCTCCTTCAGTTGGTGGTTGTAGGTGGTTGTTGATCGTGGTTGTTTTATTTTGTTTGATGTTTATTTAAAAATAATAATTAGAGGGATAAAATGAGAGTAAAAGAGGTTAAAGAGTGAAAATGTGAGTTGTTGAGTGTAACAATACCCATAGTTGTTGAGTGTAACAATATATATATATATATATATATATATATATATATATATATATATATATATATATATATATATATATATATATAGACACACACACACACGAAGTATTAAAGAAAAGAAAAGAGAAACTTTAATCATTTAAATGGTGTATAGGAGCACATGTGATTCAACCTACATGTTATCAATGTACTTTCAACAAGAAATAATCATTCCTAAGGAGTCATTATTGTATAATTATAATGATAGAACGACATATACCATGGATTAAAACACTAAATAATAAAACATATGATAGAAAAGACAATAACGTGTTACTATCTTATTGCAGGAGTTATAATATACTAAATCTAACTTCAAACAAGGCCAAATATTTTATCTTAATAATTAATCTTACACAACTCTTAGTTTTACCTTTAAGATCAATATTTAGGTGACAAGTGGTTGATAAATAGTTTACAGGGTTTAAAGCACGTTTAGGTTGCATTTGAGGATCACCTATTTTCATTTAGTTTCTTTTAGGTTGTTTTGTGGTTTTGCTAAAATTTTAGGTAATTTTATGTATGGTCATTTATTAGTTGCTTTTAGAGCATTAGAGTGATTCCTATTGAAGACAAAGTAGTTGAATATGTTTTATGTTCAAAAGTGGAATGCGTCGATTTGAGGATTGTGGGACTTGGTTATATGTTCGTCAATTGCAATTGCTTAGTTCCATGCATTGTTGTTAGTGTTAATAGCAAGGCTTTATTTGAATCAAAGTATCAAAGCATTAGCATCGTTTGTTTTGCAAGCCCATGACGCCCAACAATACTCTCCAGTCTCCATGCTAGATCCCGCACTCGTAGGCCACACCTGTATAGGCATTAATGAAGCATATACCAAGCGATAGCCCACAAGATTTGGCAAGAGCAAGCATCAACGCACACACAGGCAAACCACCTATGTAAGTGCATAGTTTCGTTGCTTTGCTTTGTTGTCACATCATCCTCCATCGTCTAACAACATTGTAGTTTATGTTGTATAACTTGATTTTATTTTTATTTTTTCATTATTTGTCAAAATGAGGTCCGTTATAAATAACTTCGACCTTTCTTTTATCTCAAAATAATATAACTTCTAGGGTAACCATTCTAGGAACCTAAATACACATGTTGAATTTACCATCCATTTTATACGAAATTAAAAATTCCACCCCAAAATACAAAACCAGTAGGTGTCACCAACTCACCACCCCCTCCTCTAATAGAAAACAACCTAAACCGAGGAGGGGGTGGTAATACCAATCGGTTTTGCGTTTTGGGGTGGAATTTTTTAATTTAGTAAAATAAAAAAGATATTTTATATTCTAATAACTATTGATTAATTTCGGTAGAATTTATTGTAATTGTGTGAACATATGCAAATTAAGTGTGTGATTACTGTGCTTGTCATGTATTTCCTAGAATGGAAAAGTTTGTTGTAAGAAACTAAATTGCACGATAGGAAATTATGATACTTGTGAATAAGAAATAAAATGCATTGTATAAATATTTTGAATAAAGTTAAGTATGTTAATTAATGAAGTGAAGTGATATGTGATCATAATGTATCATGATATATTTTATGTGCAACAAATTGTGAATAATGATCATGTAATGTATTGATATAAGCTAAGCTTCTTCTTGCGATTAGATCCTGCATTTGTTTACAATTGGAAAGATTATGGTTACAAATATGATTAAGTACCTAAAGTCTTTAATCATATATGCTACAAAGAGGCACACAACAAAGGTCAATTAATTTCCCTATACAGGTGGTGGTTGAATGTTACCATGGGAATGAAGAGAGAACCACTGTGAACGATTCATATGAATGATTACAAATATGATCGATTACAAATGTGAAGGGTTATGATTACAAATATGATTAATTACCTAAAGTCTCTAATCATATATGCTACAAAGAGGCACACATCAAAGGTCTATTAGTTTCCCTATACAGGTGGTGGTTTAATATTACCATGGGAATGAAGAGAGAACAAGTGTGAAATATTCATGAATATTTCACACTTGTTCTCTCTTTCATGAATATTTTGTTCAGTTTGAATTTGCGAAATGGATTAGACTTTGCTTTTTCTTTTGTTTGGTTTGAATAATGGTTTTGAGGACCTTTAATGGTTCCTAGTTGTATTAACTATTTACTAATTACTTTTGATTTTAGGTTTCAAGTATTTTGTTTCATTGATTTCCATTACATTATTCTAAGTAACCCTAATGTGTCACATGTGGCGGAGACAATTTGGTAATTCTCCAAGGTTTTATTAATTAACTGGTTTTAGGAAGAGGGAATTATTGGGACGTTACACACTGGTTAACATGATTAAAGCAGAGACAAAATTTTCACTAAAGAAGTTCATAATCAAAACAAACATTTAAAAGAAAGACGTAGGGGAGGGGGGGAAAATCAGATAATTCAAATTTGATACCAACCTTTAGAAGATATTCATAATATGAGTCAATACTTGTTCCAATTCCAGCATCCTGCAAAGGAAGAATGTAATTAACATGCTGACATGCTGTAGCCACTGCAGTGACCTTCCAATAGATATCAAAAAAGTAACATTACTCATTACTGTATGCAAAAATGGAAAGAAGTAAATATTAACATGAGATGTGTGTGTGTGTGTATATATATATATATATATATATATATATCTGTTGCAAAGACTGGCCACATTGCTAACAAGGAGCCTCAATCCTGGTCTAGTAAATGACAGAACAGTCATAGACCAGTTTTTACCAAGTGAGTCACACAGGTCAAGAGATTGTGTGAGGAATCAAGATAAGCCTTCCATTCTTAATAATTATGCAAGAAGGAAAAGGGAAGTGGAGGACATTATCCAGAGTTAGTTACAAAGGCAATTATACACTTCATCAGGGCTCATTGAATACAGAGGATAAATATTTTATTTCATGCTAAAATCTAGGAAAAAGGAGAGTGCCTGTCCCAACACAGCACACCTCTCAGGCAAGATGTCAACCAGCAGATTATGCCCTACATATCAACATGACAACATTGCATAGAAACAAGTTTCTCCATAGCAGTTCTAAACAGGATCATTTCGAAAGTTCTCATTTCTTCTTTCCAACTCCAAAAAGAAAATTAATTAGTTTAGCTAGAGAGGGAAGCATTAATCCTACTATGACAAATCAGTTTAATCAGACTAATCCCCCATTGATAAAATCCCCCACTCTGAATGTATCAACTCTTTCTCAGTTCTCTCAGGATTTTTCTTCTCTTTTTTTTTTGGTTTGCTTTAATTTTTCCCCTCTTGGCCTCTATAGATGCTTTTCCCCTCCTCTAATCTCCACCAGGAAGAAAATATGGCAGTCCAATAACTATTAAGTGATACGGAGACCAGTGACCCACTCACTCCTTCAACAGATGCATGTGAGCAAGTTTGCGTCAATGCATTCATGATCATCAAAGTTTCTTGGAGCATGTTTCTCTACCTGCATGCATCACATGGAGCATGCATTCCCAACCAAAAAACATTTACGGTGATAAATAACAATGAGCACAAAACGTTCAATATCATCATCATATATTGAGGGTAAAGGATATTGATAGCAACATAAGCTTTGTGCTGAAGAATACCACGCTGAAGGAAACTGATTCCGTGACCTTTCCATTAATTTGTCAGTCAATATATACAATTGTCTAGCTTTATCACAAGGCACCAATTAAGCTACAATTAAGGAAATAGCTAATTACAAAATATGCTTAAGCTATAAACAAGGTAACTAAAATATTCACATTGACTAAAGATATATTTTGAATATATCTTAACAAACCCCCATAGTCTAAGCGGGAGGAGGACGGACACTTAGACTATCTTTAAAATCTTCAAAAAGAACACGAGGGAGCCCCTTTGTAAAGATATCCGCAATTTGGTGCCTAGAAGGAACATGATGAACCCGAACTTCACCGCGGGCTACCTTTTCTCGAACAAACAAAATATCCATCTCTATGTGCTTTGTTCGTTGATGTTGCACAGGATTGCCGGAAAGATAGATAGCACTCACATTGTCACAATAAACCAAAGTCGCCTTTTTAATCGGACAATGTAACTCCAAAAGTAGGTTTCGAAGCCAACATGACTCAGAAACTACATTAGCAACGCCCTTGTATTCTGCCTCGGCACTAGACTTAGATAAAGTAGGCTGTCGTTTAGAGGACCATGAGATCAAATTATCACCCAAATACACACAATATCCGGATGTGGACCGTCTCGTATCTGGACACCCAGCCCAATTTGCATCTGTATATGAGACAAGTGACGAAATAGATGATGGGTACAAATGCAAACCATGATCGATAGTGCCTTGTACGTAACGAACTACCCGTTTGAGAGCAGCCATATGACTCTTTTGGGTCATGCATATGTAAGCAAACCTGTTGGACCGCATATGATATATCTGGTCTAGTAAAAGTAAGGTATTTCAAGGCCCCTGCAAGACTCCGATACAATGTAGGAGCTGACCTTCGGTTTTACCTCAACACGTGTTGCCTGAGGTTTGCATGAAGACATCCCTGCTCGTTCAATAATTTCCTCTGCATATTTGCGTTGTGACAAAAATAATCCACCCTTATGTCTTGTCACTGCTATGCCAAGAAAATAATTAAGATGACCCAAGTCCATAGCAAATTCAGAGCTAAGAAGAGACATAATAGAACACCGCAGAGTATCAAAAGAGGCAGTAATAATAATGTCATCAACATATAAATGTAAATAAGCCACATTCTTCCCTTGACGATAAATAAATAGGGAATTGTCACTCTTACTATTAGTGAAAACAATATAAGAAATAAAATCTGCAAACGTCTTATACCATACCCGGGGTGCCTGCTTAAGACCATATAAAGAGCCCCGCAATAAACACACATAATCAGGGTGAGTTTTATCACGGTACCCAAGGGGTTGATGTCCCCTGAAGCTTACCTTGTAGAAAAGCGTTCTTAACATCAAGTTGATGGATCGACCAAGCTTTAGACAAAGCAAGGCAAAGAACAGTACGGTTAGTAGCCGGCTTCACAACCGGACTAAAAGTCTCCCCACAATCAATGCCAACCTGTTGTGTTTTGCCACTACAAGACGGGCTTTATGCCTCTCAAAAGAACCGTCAGATTTCACCTTGTGAGTAAAAATCCACATAAAACGAATAACATTAACATCAGGTGGACGGGGCATCAACTCCCACATCTTATTATTAATAAGAGCATTATATTCATCATCCATGGCCATTTTCCAATTCGGGTCACGAAGGGCAGAAATGGGGTTACGGGGCAAAGGGGATTTCGTAACACTAGTCGTCATAGCACTGAAATTTTTATATTTCGGATTGGGCTTGACTATACCATTTCGACTTCGGGTGACAACACTAGGAGGAGAGAGCTGTGGAGTTGAAGAATGAGAAGATGGAGCCGAGGCAGTTGGGTCAGTTGAGTGGGTAGGACCCTGCTGGGCCGTGGCTGATTGAACAGGCCCACGGTCCAGCGAGGCCCCATTCTGCCCAACATCAACAACCCGTATGCCAGGAGTTAGAGTTGAGCCTAGGCTGGTGCGAACGGGGGAGCAGCATGAGGCCCAGCTCGGTGAGAGCTAGGTGAGGGAGACGGAGAAACGCGAACTGGGTTGGAGTTTGGGCCGTGCTTTGCAAATGTTGAATAACAAAGGGATTCAATCCATCATCCAAAAAATCATAAGTATGGGAAGAGGGTTTATGCAAGTTCGCAAAAGGAAAAATACTCTCATCAAACACAACATGGCGACTAATAATAATTTTATTAGACGATGAATCAAATCATTTGTAACCCCTATGATTCGGTGAATACCCCAAAAAAACACATGGTGTGGAGCGAGGTTGAAGTTTAGTAATGGTAGTAGATGGAATCAAAGGATAACACAAACACCCAAAAACACGTAAGTGAGAGTAAGAGGGGTCCTTTTGGTATAATACTTGGAGAGGTGACTTATTTTCTAGCAATTTACTTGGTAGAATATTATGAAAATATGTTGTCATTTGCAAAACATGGTGCCAAAAAGACGGAGGTAGAGAAGCATGAGAAAGAAGAGTTCGTATGATATTATTCAAAGATCTTATTTTCTCTCGGCCTTTCCATTTTGTGATGAAGTATGGGGACATGAAAGACGAAACGACATGCCATTAGATTCACATAAAGTCCAAAAAGGACCGTTATCATATTCCCTCCCATTATCACATTGAAAAGTTTTAATTGGTCGTTCAAATTGAGTACGAATAAATGCTTGGAAGGCTGATATTTTGTCAAACACATCCGATTTTTTTGCTAAGGAAAAAGTCCACAAAAATTTAGAATAATCATCCAACACAAACATATAATAACGATGACCTAATGAACTCAAAATAGGAAAGGTCCATAAATCACTATGAACAATATCAAAAGGCATAGAAGTACTAGAATTCGATGACATAAAAGGCAATTTTACGTGTTTTCCAAGTACACAAGAATTGCAAACATTAGCACTAGAATTATGAGTACATTCAATGCTTTTATTACTACGAAGAGTCCTTAAAATGGACGATCCCGGGTGTCCCAATCGATCATGCCATAAAGAGGAAGCTAAAGCTGTAAAATTTGATGGAGTTGAGTTTTTGAAAGTGGTAGTAAGAGGATAAAGGTCTCCTTGGCTATCACATCTCATTATTAGCATCCCCGTCCGATAATCCTTCACTGAAAAACCATAGGGGTCAAACTCAACGGTCACACAATTATCAGTTGCAAACTTCCTAACAGAAATCAAATCTTTAATAATTTTAGGAGCATGAAGGACATTAGTGAGAGACAAAGGAAGGTTAGGGGAAGGCAACGTAGTATGACCACAACCATGAATTGGAATCGTATGACCACTACCAACAACAATACCATTAGGATGATTGCTCAAATTAAAATAAGACGATAGATTACCCTTGGAGGAAGTCATGTGCGAGGTTGCACCGGTGTCCATGTACCACGAAGGATTGGGTTGGCTCAACGTCATGGTGTGCATAGCCGATTCAATATCGGTTAGAACATATGAAGTGGGTTGCTGCTGTGAGACCAAGTATGCTTGTTGTGGGCGTGGCCCCAATACACCTTGCTGCTGCGTGAGGACGAGCCTAGCCGTTGGTGGGATATGGGCAAGGAGGAGCCCATTGTGGAGCCCAACCCCATGGCTAAAACGGAGCATACCTGTGCTGCCATGGTGGTGGAGCAGGCCACCCCTGCTGCTGTTGCTGCTGACTGCCGCGACTGCCACCCTGCTTGCCGCCGGATTTTCTAGCCCCATTTTTTTCAGATTTTTTTATTTGCCACGAGACGCCCATGTTTCACCCCCGGAATTGGCAGATTCTCGAGGTACACTCGCCACCATTGTCGAAGCCGTTGTAGCAGCCCTTTTTGCCAAGCCCGCCTCCTCCAAAGTTAGCATGAACCGAGCTTGGTAAAATTGAGGAAGAGGGTTGCTCTGCCTAATTAAAGTTGCAACGCCGTTGTATGGTTCCGTGAGACCGGAAACCAATTGAAGGACAAGGCGGTTGTTATCCACTGGTGCCCCTACATTCTTTGACTGATCGGAGAGGCTCTTGAGCCGTTGACAGTATGCCTAGATGTTTGGGAAATCCTCCATATCGGTGTTTGAGAACTCACGTTCCAAACTGACGGCACGGGAGTTTTGATTGTCTTGGAAAATATCACGAAGTCTATTCCAAGCCTCCATTGTCGTAGAGTCAGGTTCCATAATTGTGTGCATAAGGTCTTTAGAGATCGTGGAATAAATCCACCCAAGAACCAGAGCATCCAAAATCGTCCATAGCTCCTTTTCCTCCTCGGTTGAAGGTGCAGCAGCCTTCTTTTTCGGAGCTATGATATGATGGAGAACCTTGTGAGATCGAGCATTGATCTTAAACAGTTCTGCCCAAGTGGAGTATCCAACGTTTTCCATTTCAAGAGTGATTGGAACATTGTGTTTGATATTAGACATGGTAAAAGCCGGATGAAAAGAATTTTTGGAGTCCGACATTGTTACAGTGCAAGAGAAAAAGAAAGGTAGAAGAATAGAAGAAAGGTAGAAGAAGACTGGCGGAAACAAAGCTAGGGTGCAGCGGAAATTTGCCCTAGTCTACTGATACCATGAAGGAAACTGATTCCGTGACCTTTCCATTAATTTGTCAGTCAATATATACAATTGTCTAGCCTTATCACAAGGCACCAATTAAGCTACAATTAAGGAAATAGCTAATCACAAAATATACTTAAGCTATAAACAAGGTAACTAAAATATTCACATTGACTAAAGATATATTTTGAATATATCTTAACACACGCAGCTACCAAAATTACAAAATGTAAATTGAAGCATCTTCCACAATGGAAAAATTGATGCTAAACATTTAAGATTCTGTCTTCTACAGTCCCTCCATTTTTTAATATTTGCATCAGTTTGACCTATGCAGTATTCACATACTCTCTTTCAACTAAATTTTTTACTTTATAAAATGAATAAATTTTATTATGCAATATATCTTTGGATTACTTACAATGTCTATTTTCATTTAATATATCAATAATTTAATTTATACAATTTTTACTAATACTCCCTCCGTATTTGCTCCATTTCTCCATGCGCGGAGTTTTAGGAGAAATAGTGAAAAGTAATAAAATATGATGGAACGTGGAAGTGGTGTTATATGAAGAATAAAAAAAAAAATTAAAGTAAAAGTGAGTATAAGTGGGGAAGGAGAGAGAATATGAGAAGTAATAAATATATGATATGAGAGGACCATTAGTGGAGGAAATAAGTAAATTATTGTTAAAAGTTTCCAAATAAGGACATGGAGCATGTAAAAAAATATGGCCGCAAAACAAGTGAGCACGTTATAAAATACGAAGGGAGTAGACAATTGAAGATATTAATGGTCAAAGTTACATCTGACCAAATAAGCCGGTCAAAATTATGCAAATATTAAAAAATGAAGGGAGTATGTATTAATACCTTTTGTGTCCATTCACCTGTAAAGACATTTATGTGTGCACCTACTAAATTAAGCTTCGAACGACAAGCCCATAATCCACGGACAGCATTTTTTGTGACTTGCTCAAAAACTGCATTTAACAAAATGGCGTTAGCTACAATGGGGATAAAGATGTGCTCCATTAAAAGAACAAAAGGTCTGTATTCAAGATTCAAAGTTTAACCTACCAACCATTCATAGGATTAAAAATAAAATAAAGAGTGAACAGAAACCCCATTGCAAAACTTTTTTAGACCTTTCTACCTTTAATCGTGTGTTGGATGAGGAATAATGGAAACAAAAATAAATTATTTCATAGGAAGTTTAGACTACTTTACACCTAGAACGGCTAAGATCTCGATAGTTACTCTGTAAGAAGATTAATTTGCTAGGAATCAGATCAAATTCCACTCTATTCAATATTCAGCCTCCTTTCTCTATTACAAAACTGCTATATATATATATGTAATCAGTTCTAGCATCTTCTACAGCTAAGAGGAATAACAAACTTATTTCCCAAAATTACCACATTACCCTAAACCCCATAACAAACTCATAACAGAATTCCAACTCGGCATCAAGTTGCTGGAGAATTCTTCTTGGGCTTCCTTCGAGCATATGTGATCAAGGGCCTACGCTGACCCCTTGCAATACCCCCTTCCCAAACCTGCACCTTGTCCTCAAGGTGGAAAGAGGGAAATCTGTCATCGACTCAAACTCTTGCAACCCTTTCCACTTGATTAAAACCTCTGTAGCTTGCTACGAAGTTCTCACTCCAAGCACTGCCTCTGGCTCCACATCAAGAACCAAGTCTAAAGTAAGCTGAGAAGGGAGCTGTGAGGGTAAGTGTCCTGTTCCAATGGCTCTTTTCAGCTGGGATATGTGAAAGACAGGGTGGATTCTGGCAGAATCAGGTAGTTGTAGCCTGTAAGCCACTTTCCCTTACCCTTTGCAGCACAGTGTAAGGACCATAGAACCTAGGGGAAAGCTTTTCATTCTTCCTCTTTGCCAAAGATTGTTGTCTATATGGCTGTAATTTCAAATACACCATATCTCCCACCTGAAAATCACCCTCTCTTCTACTCTTATCCTCATACAGCTTCATATAACATTGAGCTTGAACCAAGTGAAATTTCAGTTCATCCAAGATGGCATCTCTTTCCAACAGCTGGTCTTCAATGGATGAGACAGAAGTGCTACCAGGGGTGAAGCGCACTAAATGTGGAGGATCCCTCCCATACAATGTGGGCCTAGGCTGACCCCTTGCATAAATTTGTAAATTTCTTGATAGTACCAAGATAGTGCCCGAGCAACTTCCTCCTCTAGATAAAGTAATACTCCCTCCATATTTAAATAAGGGCTCCATTTCTCTAAACACGGTCTTAAGAGGATGTTTTATTGATGAAAAAATGGATCCATTAGTTTGATGGCATGAAATATTCCCGATTCCTTCTCTTAAGAAAATCCTTACTAATTGGAAAAAAATACATTATTAGAAGAGTATCAAGGTGTCTCCCACATGCAAAAGGAAGGTTAATGACAAAAAGTATCATTCCCTCTAATGGATCCATTGTTTCATTAATTAAACATCCTCTTTTAAGACGTAATTTAAAAAACAAAGATACAGACTGCAACTGCAGTGATCATCATCTACAATAGGGCCGGTATTGTAATAGACTATCCTAAGGAGGAACGATATGTGTATTCTAGTAATTTTACTTTACTAGGATAAAAGTCCTTAGTATAAATAGAGAGGGAGGGGAAAGAAAACGGTAGTCAGAAATTAGAATGAACCATTTTGAGAGTTGTGCCACAAAGTCAATATTGAGAGAGTAGTAACCTAAAGCTACTTGTGAGATTGATATCCTAATCAGTTTGCCATTATCAATCAATCAGGCTTTCCACTTATACTATTGCTTATTTTACTGTTATTATAATCTGTTGGAGTTAGCCCATTACAGCTTTCTACATTATTACCCTACCATCTTCAAATATTTTGCATTTCTAGAATAGGCTGTGCAAAGATGCTACTTGTTCAATGACAATATGACTGAAATCTTTGAGGATTCTAGGACAACAAATTGACAAAGAAGGCAGCTCATATTAATAAAAATTTCTACAGCATAGAAACTGCAATGGAGCAGCAAGTCTGAGCACACCAACAACCAATTAAGGTCTATGAAAGGAGACACAAACAGAAGGGCAAGGGACAAGGGGAAGGGCTGCAGCAAATGTATCAGCAAGAAGACAAGGAATATTAATGCTCCACTAAGCTTGGTAGCAAAGGGCATCCTGCCAGTACCAGTACATGACAAATATGTTTAATGAGAGAGTACTTTTGTAAGAGAAAGCTTGATATATAAGGATAGGCAATGTAACAGTAAAATTCATGTTTTTGGAGAAATCAGTATTAGCTTAGCAGTAGCAGTAGAAGTAGAATAGCCCTCAAGAGTAGTAGTTCTTCTATTCCTCATTGTAGCCGTTACATTACAATATCAACCAAATCCTTCAAGCTTTCCTCTAATTTCGATCTTACTGTTTCTTAGTCCTAGTATCCTAGTTTATTGCAGAAACATAACAAGAAGCAGTCATAATGACACCTATAATATAAGTCAAAGCCACCTGTGAAGCCATTCAACTCTTACACAAGTATATATAATATGCAGCAAAATCTCACTTAGGTCAAATCATAGTTTGAAAAGGTGCAAGGCGCACTCAAGTCCAGGAAGTCCTTGCAGCCAAGGCGTAAGGCGAAGGCATGCGCCTTTTCTATATTAGGCGCACTTTTGAAAAGGAGAAAAAATGTGGTACTTAATTAAAGTACCTGTAATTAATTGGGGGGTTTTGCCCAACAATATATTTTAGAAGCTTACTTAACATTTTCAGTTGCGCCTGACAGGACTACTTGTGATTAATAGGGGGGTTTTGCCCAACACTATAACTTAGAAGCTTACTTAAAATTTTAAGACGTGCCTGACAGGACTATGGCAATATCACCTTGGTTTGCCTAGCACCCAGGTACGCCTAGGGCACATTTTTTTTTTAAGGAGTCAAGTTAAATCTTTCGGTGCCTATGTTCTCCCCTTTCAGAAAGACTAAATTGGCTTTATAAAAATACAATAAGTAACTAGAAGTTTGCAAGCATAAAGTACTAATAATTTCCTTACCAGGATTATTTGTTAGGCGGCTTAAAATACCAAATTCCAAGGTCAAAGTCCCACCACCAGCTGTTGACGTTATCTGAAGCAGCCCATGAGTCATGATAATAGTTTATGAAATCTAAACGATGAATATACAGCCATGACAGGCGGAAGTCGCAAGACAATAAAGAAAGATTTTGAAAGCTAGTAATCTGCCAACAGACTATCAAATTGAAGACAAGATCATTCCAAACGATGATTTCTGCAATCTTCGCAAGAGGTATACAATACACAATCTTGTAACATGAAAAAAGGAAAGAAAGTGATGGCTTTACCTTACTTTCATTCTCATCTACTCCATCCAATAAATTCACAGAACCAAATGGAATCCCTGGAATATTGCGTACAACAGTCATGACATGAATTACACATTTTCTCAGTTTTCTTAGCAAAGTGCCAAAGATAGTAATTAATCATAAACAACTCAAATCTTTTCAGATTTAACATCCATACTAAAAGATGTACAGCCAGGCTTTAGCACAAGGTTGCTGAGAGATATGCATCAAGATAGATGGAGGCCTCCTTTTACAATTCCGATTCATTGGGAATTTTTTCCGGGGAAGAGATTTTGCCCAAGTAGGTGAAAAGGAAATGCATTATAAAGAAAGACAGCAAGATCTATAATTTATTTACTTATCTCACTATAATTTATTGATATGTTTAAACTCGAGCTAAGCCATTCGCCCAAGTATTTAATTATCTCACTAATATCCTAGTCAACATATATCTGAAAATATATATCCACAACACTCCACTTTTTATCCATTGCAGACAATTTAAAACCCCATAAAAATACCAGAATTGAGTCAAAGATGTGCCAACCTTCAGTGCCTTAACAAAAGTAATATGTTTTGTCTAGTTCTTTAACAACAATTTTTATAGTGTGTGCTTAGGCAAATCTTTCAAAAACACAAAGGCCTCAATCTCTAATTTTTATACGACAATAGCTTTTCAAGACTACACTAAGGGTAGATTTCAGCGAGAGATAATACAGTAGGAAGTAGGAACAGCTCACCATTGGTGTACTTTATATCTTAAAAAAGTTGGGTAATTGGAAAAAAAAACTAAAATTTAAAAGGTACTAGATGGAGCCTAGGCATTTATAATTCAGAACAGGGAAAAAGAAGTACAAAGTTGAGCTATCAATACCTGTAGGCGTGTCAAAGGCAGGCAGCAATCTGTAAGCAAGATCCTCGGCTAAATGAAGTAATTGATTTTCATATGATGGGATTCTCATGCCCTGCAAGTAGACATCCAAATCACCAATAATATAATCGCAATAGAGAATATACTCATTTTAGTCAATTACACTCGAATCGGTTTCCAATGTTAGTGGAAGGTGAAGTGGGGCACAGAAAGGAAGAAAGAGGATATTAATAGATTACACAGCTAGGCAGCTACTCAGGTATGCTACTTGATCATCAGGCCTAAAAGTTTCTCTTTCTAACACTTTTTTGAGAGGGGGGCAGAGGTAGAAACTAGAAGTATGAATTTTTAATTCCGAAGAAAGTTGGATACAATCAAGCAATGATGCACGGGGACGGCTCTGGGCTGCCATCTCCCGTACCCGAAACGTCTCGGAGACGGATACGCGACGGGGACGGCTAGGATACATCCCAAATCCGTCCCCATCAAAAGTGGTACGGCACATCATTTTGGGGACGGCTAGGTGTAGACACCTAAAAATGTCTCCCCAAAACCAAACCAACAATTAATTCTACCTATCACGCCTTGGTTAAAGTATAGAACTTCAGGCATTGTATGGACTCCTTGGAATGCTTAGGGGAAGGAATGAAAGAATGGGGAGGCTAGTGTTTAGGCTAAATAGGGAGAAGAGAATAAATTTGTGATCAAGCTTGTTTGATGATTGAAAAAGGGGTAATCTGACCCCTATTTATAGAGAAAAAAGAGGGTCGAAGAATCAAGAAAAGATAAGAATTCGAATCGGATAAAACTCTTGCGATCGACAGCAGTTTTTGCGGTTTTTGTTTTTATCATATCTTTCGATCCAGAAATCGGAATAAGATAAAATAAGATATCGTTGGAAAGCCCTTGAAGTCTACTTTCTAACCCAATTGGAATCAGATTAAAATATTTTATAGAATAGAAGATATGGCCGAAATTGTGAGACGGTGTCTCTTTTGGATAGAGTTTGACATTTTATTCATATCTTTTCCGTTATAGCTCGGAATTGATATTATAATATATCATTGGAAAGATAATTTCAAGGGCTATCCAACCATATAAAATTTTGATAAAAAATATGAGGCACGAAAATCATATCTGACTATCTTTCAACATCTTTCAATTCGGATAGAATTAGGACTTTCAAAAAAAGGAGTTTTATTCAATTTCAAACTCTTTAATCTTATCTTTTCAAAACGGATAATTAGGATCTTTTAGAAACTTAAAGAAGCTTCCAATTAATCCTAATTGGTTTAGGAATGGGATTAAATAATTTGGACCCTCCACATGATCATTGGGTCGTAGGTAAGGTGGGCTTAGGTTCGGTTTGGGCCAGTTTAATATTTTGGCCATAACTTATTCGTTATAACTCGGATTTGGGATTATAATATATCGTTGGAAAGCTCTTTTCAAGCCTCATCCAACTATTTAATCGTTGAATCCATATTATGGACCAAAATAAACTGGATTAAACGTTTTAATAAAAAGGACACGAAATGAATGATTTTAAAGGACACGAAATGAATTATTTTGGGTTTAAAGGCACGAAAAGAGGAAAATAAGTTATGGTTTGGGGAAATGGGGTAGAAGTTAGGTTGGTTTATGAAATGGAAATATGGATTTAAGCACTCCAAGATTAAATACTCAACCCGACCAATAATGGCGGTGAAAGGTTGTTCATCATCGGGTTTGGTTTTGGGGAGACATTTTTAGATGTCTACACTAGGGTGTTGATCGGATACGTTTCGGGTACGGGAAATCCAAAAATCAGCCGTACCCAAGAAGCCCAGCCCAATTTTTTAAAAAAAAAAACCCAAATCAGAACAAAACTTACCTCATACTTGATTTCCCCCAATTCTCACAAACCCTAAAACTTATAAATCCTTCATCTTCTCTTTCCCTGTGCGATTTCATTGTCGGCAGCGCGACCGGAGACTCACCTGGAGGCTACGACAACCGAAGCCTGGTTCAAGGCGGCGCCGGAGACCCACCTTCTTCGCCGGAGACCCACACTTGCGAGGCTTCACTGCTTCAGTAAGTTTTTCTGACTTTCTTTCCTTTTTTTTTTTTTTGAACGGCTCTTCTTGAGTTCTTTATTTCTTTCTGACTCTCTTCTTTCTTTCTTTCTGTAAGTCTTTTGTTTTCTTTTTTAATTGTTTTATGTGTTGTTGATTTGTAGTGACATTAAATGAGAATGTCAGTGATATGAAGCATCCAGTAGGCGAACTTTTTTTTTTTTTTACATTGTGCAGTTGAATGGAGTCTCAAAATGTTGGTAGTAGTACGGGTAGTGGGTCTGTTAATACGAAATCAACTGATAATGCAGCTCCATTGTGGAATTATGTTACAAAATTAGACAAAAAGGGGGCTTTGGGTGGAACATGGAGATTTCAATGTAATTTTTGTACTGACTATTCTAGAGTTCGAGCTCATTTACTTCAGATTAAAAATCAAGGCATTGCAATTTGTAAGAAAGTAATACAAGCTGATAAAATTGAAATGCAAAGAATAGATGATGAGTTTGAAGCTAGAAAAAATGATTCAAGCCCTAGAGAAGTTCCACTTCCCTGTGAATCTACATGGACTACATCTGATGATGGTTTAGCCTCTAAGAAAAGAAAGCCAGCAGCATCACCTATTGCTAGAGCATTTGGTGTTGAAGCTAGGGACCAATTAAGTCAAGAAATTGCAAGAATGTTTTACACAAGATGCTTACCATTTAATCTTGCTCGAAATCCACACTATATTCGGTCCTACACTTTTGCTGCTACCCTGGTTTTAAACCCCCAAAAGATGAACAATTGAGAACAACTTACCTTGTGAATGAGTTACATAATGTTGAAAGGCAACTTTTGCCACTTAAAGCAACTTGGAAAGAAAAAGGCGTGACAATTGTGTGTGATGGGTGGAGTGATCCAACAAGAAAGCCTCTCATTAACTTAATGGCTACTTCCGGAAGTGACCCTATGTTTCTAAAAGCTGTGAATTGCTTTGGTGAAGTGAAGGATAAATATTTCATTGCTAATCTGATGAAAGAAGTCATTCACGAAGTGGGTCGCCAAAATGTTGTACAAGTGATAACTGATAATGCAGCAAATTGTAAAGGGGCGGGAGAGCTTATTGAGATGGAGTTTCCTCACATCTATTGGACACCATGTGTTGTGCATACTCTTAACCTTGCATTGAAAAATATTTTTGCTGCAAAAAATGTGAGTGGCAATGAAGTAGCATATGATGCTTGTTCTTGGCTTGCTAATCTGTATGAGGATGTTGTTCTAATAAAGAACTTTATTATGAATCACAACATGAGATTATACATCTTCCAGAAGTTCTCTCCTCTTCGATTGCTTGCTTTCAGAAACTCATTTTGCCTCTTGGATTGTGATGTTTAAAAGATTAAAACTCCTCAGACGAGGTCTTCAAGCAATGGTTATAAGTGATGATTGGTCTTCTTACAAAGAAGATGAACCGGGGAAGGCGGGGAAGTTGAAGGAAGTAATTTTGTTGGATATGTGGTGGGATACGATAGATTATGTCATTGATTTCACAAATCCTATCTATGACATGATTAGATATTGTGACACCGATAAACCATGTCTCCACTTAGTATATGAGATGTGGGATTCTATGATTAAGAAGGTGAAGATTACAATTTTCAAGTATGAGGAATTACCACTTACGGGCACTAGTAAGTTTTTTGATGTGGTATATGAAATCTTAATTGCTCGGTGGACAAAAAGCAACACTCCTCTTCACTGTCTAGCCCACTCTTTGAATCCAAGGTATATGTTCTTACACTTAATTATTTAAGTAACTACTAAATTTTGTGATGTAAACATTTCCTATAACTTCCTTTTTTTTTTGTTTGAATATTTTACAGCGATGAATGGCTAGTTAAGGACTCTTCTAGAGTTGCTCCTCATAGGGATGGTGAAATATCTCGTGAAAGAATGAGGTGCTTTCGTAGGTTATTTCCTCTCGCTGATGATCTTAGCAAAGCAATGGATGAATACGCACTATTTTCTATGAAAGGTGGGCCTTTTGAGGATCTAACCATCATGTCAAAGATGGCCACTATGGAACCTAAGAGTTGGTGGGCAAATTCTGGTGCAGAAACTCCTCTCCTTCAAACTTTAGCTTTTAAGTTACTTGGCAGCCCACTTCCTCTTCTTGTTGTGAGCGGAATTGGAGTACATACAACTTCATTCACTCACTTAGAAGGAACAAATTAAATCCTAGTCGTGCACGAGATTTGGTATACATTCACTACAATCTTCGTCTTATATCAAGGAATAGTGCACAATATGAGGAAGAGAATACAAAGATGTGGGATGTTGGTGGAGATAAATTTGATTCCATGACGGGCATAGGATTTCTAGAGTTTGCGAACCCCTCTCTTGATGAGCCGATCTGGAAAGAAATTTGATCGCTGAAGATTAAATTTACCGCTTTTATTTATGTTTGTAAGAATATTAGCACTTTAAGACATTAAATTCCGTAGTATTTCTTCTAAGTTGTGTTGTATGGATTTTTTTTTTTTTAATGGATTTATATTTTGCTGATTTTTTTTTTGGCCATACCCGTATTTTGGAAAAAAAAAAAATTCCGTATCCCGTCCGCGTATCCGTACCCGTTTTTGTCCCCGTATCCGTATCAGTGCAACCTAGCAATCGACAATGATCCTTCCTTACTCTAATTTTTTAATTTTTTTTAGAATAAACAGTGGCTGATGGCTTGAACTTGAATTCTGTATTGAGCAGAACTTAGGCTCTTTTGACCAAGCCACCAAGATTCTCAAAAACTTCGACTGCACTTTGGCTAACCATTTTAAAAAGAGCTTCTGAAATATAAAAATAATGTTTTTACTACTTGTCCCACAGTTAACACCTTTCACCCCCACAAATAGAAGACACTACTGCGAGGAATCAGTCCAGGCCCTTCACATATGCCCGGAGAAAGCCCAAAATAGAAGCTGCAACAGCTTGAAGCTGGGGTGGAAATCAGTTGCCAGATTCTGTTAAGGGAAGGGCAATAGAGAGTAATCAGTTGCCACAATGAGGGAATCTTGTTATAAATAATGAAGATGTAATGGGGGGAAGATATCCAGAAATTTGCAGTAGAACCTTTTGGGAGAGATTTCCTTCCTCTAGAAAGGAGAGTTGTATTGTTGGTTACACTGATGTGCAATACAACGTACTATAAATTGGGGCTGTTTCTCTCTACTTTTACTTAGAATTCTCTGTTTTAATACTAAATCCTAGCAACTACAATGTCTACAAATCGTCATAAATCAACATAATGTAGAATCTGTAACATCCAAATGCAGCTCAAGCTCCTTTATCACCCCCAACTCTAACCACTAACCATGACCACCTTATTCACTTGAACTAGCCCAGAAGCATACCCCCAAACACCTTAAACTGCCACAAAACAAGGACCCAAAGGCTTTTCAATTGACCTCAATGTTGTCACCAAACGCATTCCAAGAAATCAGCACCAAACCTCCATTTTATTTCTCCTCTGCTCCTGTCACTTTCTTTTATGTCTCATACTTTACAGCAAGATGTTTTACTACTTTTTTTTGTTTATGAATTAGGGATGGGAATTTGAGAATGCTTTGCTACTTCATTGAGATAACAATGAGGAGCCAAGATGATGAGGGCTGGAAAAGTGTTTTAACTTTTCTATAAAAAGGTCATTAATACATTCCAGAAAGGGTATACCAGTCCATTTGAAAAAACTCAGTAAATGTTGTGAGCAGTACAGGTAAGCTCCTTTGTTCATGCTACTTAAAACAGTTATGTGCTTCGAAAGAAGCTAAAGTTAATTTCAAAACATAACCCTTTTTGCCCAAGTTTCAGATCTTTAGCCTGAGAAGCTAAGCCAATTGGACACTTATTGATTATCTTTCTTATCCATCATTGGTATACAATCAGTCAATTGACCAATATAATGAGGCAATCCAATCCCCTTTAATCCACTTTGACCCCTCCTTAAAGGGATAGAAGTCCCTAGGCTCAAAGACCCCCAACTTGCTTTCCTAACTCAATAAGAACAATGATCCACATACAACACTTGTCCGTTTCGTGGTGTCTAGTGCTTACAAAGACGTGACTAGGTGCTGAGGTAACACGGGTCAAGCGCCTTTTTTGTCCAGGGAAGACATTGAATTAAGAGCACAACCTTTTTTTCTTCCACGATGCACCTTGAGCCCTTTCATAAAGTAAAAAGGTGGTTGGATGTAAAAAATAAAAAATAAATAAATAAATAAATAAATAATAAAGGGTAACATAAGAGAGAGTGGAAAGGTGTAAGTTTTGTAGGGTAAAAGGGGCAAGATAGTAAAGGGAGTTTGTCAAAAGAAAGTTTGGAAAATCTATGGGCTGAAAAAGTGTACAAATATTGCAAAACGCGCGGTCAAGGTGTCAACCACGGCTTTTGACATTTTGAATACCATGATATGTGCTTTTTGGGACCTTTCGTAACCAGCTTAGGGCAATTTAAAACATTTCAGATATAACCAAGCCGACTGGAAAAGGTTTCTATGCTTCTCAGACTGTGCCTATAGTTTTATTCTATGTCCTCAACTCTCCCACAAAGAGAGGAGGGAACAGGTCATCCAATTTTATTCCGAGATGGTGTCAGGTTGTCAACCAAAGGTAGCAAACAGCTCATTGCATCACAAGCTGATTTTTCCCCAACATGATGCCATCAAGGCACACATGTATGTGACAGACATGACAACTACAACTTAACAAACCAATTGGATCAATTAGATGAATTGACCACTATCTTACACGGAGTAGCAACAAAAGTTCAAGTAAATAAATTCAAGAGATATATTCTAGCAGAAATGAAAGAAAATGAGCAAATTATTCCAGATAAATAGATAGCGTTAGCGCCAACCATACAACCACTACGAGAAGAGAGCAAACAATACCGTAGCATAATCACTTGCAATAAGGTGGGCAGATAACAAACCTCCAAGAACTCGTATAGTTGTTTCAAAAACTGATACTGTTTTATTCTGCATATGTTACCACAGAAGATCAAACTTATAAGTCTCTTAACAGAACTCCTATACTTAAAGCAAAATTGATCAAAACACAAAAGAGAAAAAATTCATAAAATGAACCCATTGGAAGTGATTGGTTAGATATGGACTACGAGTGATCACGTGCAACTACAAAAGTTAAAAACTCTAGATTGCCACCACACAAACAGTAACCAGGACAAAAGCAGAATATTGCAAGACCATGAAGCTGGTAACCCCTAAAGTCGACAAGATAAGACACATACTAATATCACAGCCAATGTAAAGTTTTACATTGTTAGTCCACTAAATAAGAGACAAAAATAATCCAAGATATATCTTATTAGGTGGCATAACAATGATAGGACTCCAAAAAGACAGAATATATGACACTGTTCATAAGGGTGAATGGTAATATTGTTCACAAATCACAATTTGACATTATTCACAATAGTCAAGTCATAGAATATTTCAAATAAGGAGCACTTGCTTCATCAGTTGCTTTTCACTACCTTCTATTTGTTAAATTCTTTTTTCGTATTTGCCAATGCAACTCAAAAATAATAATTAATCCCTACCTCTATACTTGATTCCTTGTACCCTTTATTTGTCTCTATATTTTAGACCTAACCGACAAAAAGTAATTAATGTATCAAAGAGAAATACTGATACCATTTGTCATTTAGTGCTAGGTTTCTAGGAAAGAATACTCTCAATACAACAGTAATGATGATAGCACAAATGATTACCAACTCACAATGTCAAATCGAAGGTTATTCCCAAGCCATTCAACAGAAAAAGCAAAACGCTCTTTATCACCAAGCAAAGCCAATGTGTCAAGGGAGTCAACCTACAACAAAGAGGAATTCAATGTGCGGCAAAACTATTAAAGAGTAGGAATACTATCGACCTCTCCACTAAGTAGAAATCAAATTTAAAAATATGGAACCTGAAGGTTTCTTCTTACCAATGTTAGGGCATAACCACCAAAAGTATCTTCCCCGCCACAAGACATGGGTTTTAACTCATCTCGTGGAAAAGCATGCTTCATATATCCATTAAATGCATGGAAGAACATCTCTTCAACCTGAAATAAAACATTTTGACCATATAGTAACTTCAACACAAACAAAAAAACTCCCTCCGTCCCTTAGAGAACGACCATTTTGGCCAAATTTTAGTCCTAAAATGCTCATCCCATTTACACTAATAAAACCATCAATTTACAGTAATATTTGTGCAAAATTAGCTTCCTCAAGTAAATTTTGTTTTTCCCATATACTTTTTTTACTTTCTCTCTCTATTTTTTTGCAAATCCCATGTAAATTTACCTTTTCAATGTAGTTTTATTAGCTTTCCCTTACACTTGTATTTTTCATTTAAGTTTCTTAATACCCGTGAAAACTCCCCAAAAAGGTCGTTCTTTTAAGGTCAAGGGAGTAAGTATAAAAAGAAGAGATAGAAAACCAATCGAAATAGTACAACAAAAACCTCACATGGACAAGTTAGAAAGATGTTTTTAAAGCCATGGATTTGTTATCTAATACTTCCTGCGATTTCTTTTACTTTCAACATAGCCTATAGCACGCATTTTAAGAAAAAGATAGATAATGTAAACATACGAAATAAACAATATAATGTGCACATATAGTACATAACCCTTCCTTATTCCCGGTGTTCAAACTATTTTGACAAAATTTGTCTGCTTACCTTCTCTAATCACCTCCTAACTTAGTTTTAAAAGGCGCACCAAGGCGCAAATGGTCCTTGCAACCTAGGCGTGAGGTGCAAGGCGAAGGCGCGCGCCTTTTGTATGCAAGGCGCGTGTATTTATATGTTTATTTCAAATTATTTTTTACTTTGATTGTACTTAATACCAATTAAAAAGATTCATAATAAATTAAATAATGATATATGTAAAGCTAAGGTTGTCTGAATTTGAAAAAATGTCCATCATTCTTCAATTTATAACTTAAATCTTAGTTATTTTCCTTGAGGCGCAAAGGCGCACCTTACCAAAGGCGCTTTAAGGCGCACGAGGCGCGCGCCTTCCGTAGGTGACTGAGCCTCGCCTAGCTAAAGCCCATTTCCCAGAGCCTCATAGAGGCGCGCTTTTTAAAACCAAGCCTCCTAAAAGTGTGTATCTTAAGGGTAGATTACAAGTAACAGAAAACATAGGAAGTATATTATTCTCTCCATGTTTAAATAAGTGAAACGTCATCCTTGTGCACGTATGTCAATACAAAATTTTGATTGAAAATATTTTTAGTTATCAATAAGTAAAAGTTAAAAAAATTGAATATTAATAAACTGTTTATTGAGACGATTCCAGCAACTACCCACCAGACTATATTTATTCTTATGTATAAATCACAAATATTAGTCAAAGGTGAATTGGATGAATAGTGCAAAAACTCAAAAACGTTTCATTTATTTAAACAAAGAGGGAGTAATTAATAAATTACCTTGTATTAATTTTTAAAAGGATTGTGAAGTGTGATTTGCTATGCTACCACGACTAGGTGAGGCATAATTTGTCAACTCTAACAAGAGGATCCAAAAGTTAGTTGGTTAATATTAATAAGGTTTAATAAAACCAACATTTCCGTTTATTCTATGGTTCAATTCCATTGATAGTCTATACCACAATAAAAGTAGCCTAGGTAAAAATTCAGAAGCTCTTGCTTGCCGAATTCAATAATGGCGCATCATTGAAGATAAAGAGTAAGCAAACAGCAACAACAAAAGTTTTCGATTTTAAATTTGTAACCTTCTCTAAGTATCTATATATGCTAGCCTGCACATTAAAGGCCTTATATGCTATCAACCTTAGCTCTTACAAGTCCCAAAACTAAGATGATTCAATTTTCTTCTAAGAGATGACTTAATTGAAATCATCCAGAATTATAATTGTTGCCAATATAAGGCATACACCACCGTCCTTGTTTCAAAATCACACCTAGACTATAATTTGTCAAATTTTCTTCCAATAAAATATCTGATCCGTAAGTGACATTCAAAATTTTAGACTAATTACTACTAAGTTACATCAAAGATTTGGAAGACATGGTGCTTCCAAAATTGAGTGAAAATTAATTGTAGGTGGCATCAAGCAAAAAATAAATAATTAAATTCCTCCAAAGTACATTGATATCCTACAGCATTGATGAACCACAATCCCAAACAACGCAGTAATACATTTAATCTGGGGCACATTTAAGAAGAAAACCAATACTCCATTACTCAAAAGTCAGAAAGCAACGAAACAAATGGCTCATCAGACATATTCCAGATGAACTATAAAGAATACCTCATCTCTGAGCTGCCTAGCTTCATTTGGAGTAACGCTTTCTGCAAGAGTTTTCCCAATGAAAATGCCACATACTGATATAAGAATACACAAGTTTAGCGTTAACCACGTAGCTGATCCTCGCATGACTTTCGGGTCTCTCTACCCTGAAGAAAAAGTTGCACAACCACGCGCCACATTACATAAAATACTCCCTTTTATAAACAATCAAGCATGTCCCTGGTTGGGCAGGTGGCACGGCCGCCCTGGGCCAGGAATAAGAGGTCTAAATTCATACTTCAATTCTAACATTAAAGGGTTCTACAACACATTAGCAAACAAATTCGATTCAATTATCAAATACGGCTCGAAGAAGCATATAAATAATTATAGGGAGGAAAGCTGGAAAGGCATTATTTGATTTATTTATCAAATCATGCTCATAATTTTCTTTTCTAGCAACATAATCGCTGGTTATGATCTTTTATATAATCATAGTAATTAGAACCAATAGTTCATATTTCGAACCCTAAATTTACTACAATGACATTTAAATTAAATTAGATCAACTACAAATCCTAGATTGTGAAATTGACATGATGATTAGAAAAAGAACAAGAAATTACCTTAGAAGCTGCTTCAGTGAGGGTACAACTATCAGAAAGTGCTTCAATGGAGAAACGTTGAGTGCGCTTCAATGGAGAACGCTGAGAGAGAGAGGAGTATGAGGAGTTGGTAGTCAGGTAGTAGCTACATTCATCCGGTTATTTTTATTTTAAAAAAAAAAAAAAAAAAAAAAAACTCACACTACAATTAGGGCTTCTTATCACCTTATTAAATTTAAATTATTTTTACTAAATAAAAATTACGGCTATTTCACTAAATGCCACTGGGAATTTAAAAATTCACCAAATGTCATCGGACTTTTCAGAATTCACCAAATGCCACCCAGTTTTTTAAAAACTCACCGAGTGACATTAATGACCAACAGCCGTTAACTACGTTAGTCATTAGGGTTTAATCATGACACATGTCATGATATGATTAGACCATTTATCATAATTCATAAAAATTAAAAAAAAAAAATTAAATAAAATTTTAAAAACAAAAAAAAATTGAAAAAAAAACCCAAATTTTTCCCAGCCACCCCCACCACCGCCAAACCGTAACTTAGCCCCCCCTATCTCACCGAAAAACGTCTAGTCACCACCTTAACCACCAAAAATCGGCCGATCGGCCCTTTAGCTACCCACCTGACCCACCGCCGACCCCCAAAACCTCCCACACAAACTGCCCCGACCCCATAAACCACCAACATCAAAATCGGTCGCCTTACTTGCGTCACCAAAATCGCCAAAATCAAGCACCCTCTCCTTAATTACCTCTGTTGCCAAAATCGCCCCTCCTCCCTTTCCCCACCCTCAAATCGGTCGTTTCGACGGTGGGAGAAGGGAGGAGGGGTGTTTTATCGGTGGTTTTTGGGGTCGGGGCGACTGTACGTGTGGGTGGTTTTTGGGGTCGGGGTGGGCAGCGTGGGTGGTTTTGGGGGTCGGCAGTGGGTCAGGTGGGGCGCTAAAGGGCCGATCGGCCGATTTTTGGTGGTTAAGGTGGTGGTCGGCCTTTTACTGCGAGGTAAGGGGCGAGGCTAGGGTTTGGCGGTGGTGGGGATGGCTTGGAAAACTTTTGGGGGGTTTTTTTTTTGTTTTTTTTTTTTAATTTTTATGAATTAAGATAAATTGACCAATTATATCATGGCATGTGTCATGATTAACCCCTAATGACTAATAGAGTTAACGGTCATTGGACATTAATGGCACTCGGTGAATTTTTAAAAAAATTGGGTGACATTTGGTGAATTCTGAAAAGTCCGATGGCATTTGGTGAATTTTTAAAGTGCTTAGTGGCATTTGGTGAAATAGCCGTAAAAATTAAGGAGAGGGGTTTAGGAAAGGAATTCGACAGCTCTTATTGGTGGTGGTTTAGGCGGGGAAATAGGTTCGACGACATGGGTTTAGGGGAGGACTTCGGCGATTCTTATCGATGGTTCAGGCAGGGAAATTAGGTTCGGCGATGGGGGTTTTGGGCGCCGACGAGTGGGGGAGTGAGGGTTGTCTTTTGAGGAGTGCGGGGGTGGGTTTTAAGGTGGGGGAAAGGTGGTTTAGGGGAAGGGAAAGGGTCGCCTGAAGGGTTTAGGATCGGGTCGGCGTTGGCCTGGGGTTTTAGTACAGCCGTTGGCGAGGTGGCAAGGGGTGGTTTGCTGGCTAAGATGTGGTGATTGGTGGGATTTGATTTTTTTTTTATAATTAATTAAATAACTATTTTAAAATTAAAATAAATTAAGAGAGAACCAATCATATAATGTCACGTGGCATGATTAGTCTTAATCCATTAGTCATTAATGACATATTATGACATTTTCATAAAACTGAATGGTATGTGGTGAATTTGAAAATGTTGGTGGTATTTGGTGAATTAAGTTAAAACTCAGGGTATTTGGTGAAAAAATCGTAAATATTAACCTTTATCATTATTTATTTTAAAACAACAAATTATATTAGTATCAAAATAGTGTTATTACGTTAGTATCAAACATAATACATTAGCTCATTAAAAGAATGGCATTAGTATAATAATATGAGTAATAATATTCACGGTAATCATCATATTTTATAAACGTGCGGCAAAAAGCTAAGGAGGGTGAAAGAAAGAAGGTGTTGGAAGCAGGTTACGGCAACGAGTCATGGCAGCGGGCCACGACAATAGTTGAGTGGTAGTGGCAGAGATGGTGGTAGCTGTAACACCCCCAAATCTCCCTCTACGTAAATATTATGTTTATACGTATACAAATTGTAACCCCCGATTTACTAATTATTGATAAACAAGAATTAAAGGAAAAATAAACAATATTTAAATAAAAATATCAGAAGCATACACCTAAATCAGAGGTATTACCGCCACACTCGACAACTTGTCAAGTGTTAAGGCTTACAAAATGTCAACTGTACAACTCAATAAATCTAGGTGAGCTATTTATACAACTTTATAAATTAAACTTGTTATAATAAACTAATCGAAACACTTGAGCTCCTTTAGCTACGATCATCACTGGATCAACTTGTTACAATCTTGACTGCTCACCATTAAGGTCAAATTCCAAAATAGATTGTTGTAGGGCCACCATAAGAAAAAGACATGGCCGCAAACATAAGTAGAACAACGAAACAACACACACATACATCAGCAAAAAAACTGAGTAATCATCACATATCAAAATACAAAGAACAATAGAATAATTAATATAATTAACTCACTTAAACAATGTAGTTCGAAACTACATTACACATATACACCTCAAGAGTAGGGGTGGCAATTCAGGTCAGCGGGTCGGGTTCGGGTAAGATTTCGGGTCAATTTCGGGTTATGCTTAAAAGCTATCAAAAATAGTTTAAAACTTAATATTATAACGATATATGACACTTTGGTCAAATTGGGTCGAATTTGGGTTGTTCGAGTCGGGTCGGGTTCGGGTTTCTCTCATTAACTGACAGGGTAAAGTCGTATCCCCTAATCAAAAGTAAATACCTAAGTCCTCTAACTAAATTAGATAGGGAAGTAGGGTCGAACTCCACAGGGAAACAAGTCTTTCTATTCCTAATTAACTAATATAATCTAGATTATGAAGTAACCAATATTTATATTTGAATAATAAACTAAACTACGAAGATTGAGAATAGGGAGAAAACAATATATATAAGGATCTAGGGCATAGGTTCACCAATAAATAATACTCCAGGGTAAAACATAATAATCAATCATTGACATTGCATAAATAACATCATTAACAGGCTTTCGCAATTAATTAATCAACATAGATCTAACAGGCTCTCGCAATTTACTAGATCTAAGTTCTTATTAAAAATAGCCTTTAATATCAAATTAACATCTTCTCGATTCATCAATTCAATATTGCTATACTTTTACAAGCCATAATTGTAAAGCGTTAAAACAATTCAATAAGAAATTATCATGCAATATCAAAAATCAATAATAGTCAATCATCAATGCATCAATTAACCATATCGTAAAGGGCTTTCGCTACGTATTACAATCACAGAATTAATCTACCGGTATTAAATCTCATCTCTCGAATCTCGACTTAACCATTTATAAATTAATCTGCCTATTGAAACTAGACATAAACATCAATTCTCATCTGTCGAATCTCGAATCAATATTTTCAAACTCATGCATAAAAGATCAGGCCTAATCTAGTCACAGAGCATTAAATCAATCAATAGGAAATTAATCTAGCATTGACAATTAACAACAATAAATTACCCCTTCATATTATTTATGGATCCCCATAAACCCTAGAAATAAAACTACTCACACATAGTAGAAACTAAACTAATCAAAGCAATAAAGCAAGACATGATTAAAAGGAATAAAATAAACAACTAAGATTAAGAGAAGAGAAATCGTTACCAAAATAAATCTGGAATTAAGAGTAGATTAAGAACAAAGGTTTAAGAGAAAGAAAATCTAAGAGAACAATTAAGAGAGTAAAGAAAGAGTAAAAAGGAAAGAGAGGAAGAGAGAGAGTGATCCTAAAATCGTATTACGGAGGAGTATTTATACTCCGTACAAATCCTAAATGAAAACAAACTAAAACGACGCTAATCGTCTCCTAATAAATACACGCGCCCGATCGGGCGAGGCACCGCCCGATCGGGCGCGCCTTTTTGCTTCCTCAATACCAATCTCGCGCCCGGCCAGGCGCGTCGCCGGGTGCCAACCTTAGCTTCTCCCGCCCGGCCGGGCGCGCCTCCGGGCGCCAGCCTCTTTGGCCGGGCGGCTCACTTGGGCCACTATTTGGACTACAATTGGGCTCCAATTCTTCGGGCCAATATGGGTTTCCTCTTCCGGTCTTGAATACTCTATCCAAATGCCCCGGTATCACCTATACCGAACCCTTAATCACTGGTTCGATGGCTCTAACCGGCCTTGGGCTATAGAATCTGGTCGTGCTTCTCCAATGTTCGTGATTGCTCCAAAATATCTCGGGAAAATACTCCAAAAGCATAAATCCCTTCAAAAGTCAACCAAATCTACGAAAACACTAGAAAACACCAATTAGTAATAAAAGTGGCTCTAAAGAGCCAAAAACACTACTAATTACGACCAAGGGACGGGGGTAAAATACTATATAAAATAGACACATCAGTAACTTCGGGTCGGGTCAGGGATTTCCAGCCCTACTCAAGAATAAAGAACTCCATAATGTGAAAAATATCCTTTGTCACATCCAACCTCGAATAATAATACGATCCCTTACTCAATTAATTCATATCTCCCATAAGTGTACTGTCATGCTCTTTGTTCTATACCTAGCCTTAGACATGAGTAATTCAAATAACAAACCAATAAGTATAAAAATTTGAATACTCTCAATAACTAGAAAACACCTTGAACCAGACCACATACGGGCCAATTCCCACAATAGGGGACCATAGAAAACTAAATAAATAAAAGATTGCACCTCTTTCTTAACTCATGATTATCATCTCCTTACCAACATGCCTAGGACTAAAATCTATAACGTCGATCCTCAAACAAAGAATAAAATAATAATTCTCAACCTTTTGATCTCATAGTCTGATCAAATAATCATTCACGTGATAATAAATGATATCTCAACAACGGCACGGATTCTCAAATAATATAATAATTCGAACTTGATTCAATCATAGTATATCTCAACTCTTATAGGGCAATCATACTAGTAACCCAAATGAAATCAATTCTCAACCCAAAATAATACTCTGCACTAATAACCCTAAAACCTCAATAAAACAATACTTACTAAAGCAACAACATTAAAAATCCTAGTGTAGACACCCAAATGTGTCTCCCCAAAACCAAACTCAGTGATGAATACCTTTCATGTCATTTGATTATCGAACAAAGAGAAAGTGTGAAAAGTCTGGTGATGAGGGTGTTTTTATTAAAATATCTCTTCTTTCTGTTTTTGAAAATATTTCTTTTCTTACCTTGTTTATAAAAAACGTGCATTCTAGTTTAGTTTGGTCTATGATATGGGTCCAATATTAGTGTAGTTGAATAGGGATTGAAAAGACCTTTCCAACGATATATTATAAGCCCAATTCCAATGAATAATGAGGAAGTTATGGCCAAAATACTAAATTGTTGGGCCCGATTTGGTTTTTATATGCGGCCCAATGATCTAGAGAAGGGCCTAATATTAATTATCATTCCTAAAGCTATTAGGATTGATTATAGTTTTCTAGAGTACTCTAGAAGGTTCACTTAAATACTAATGGAGTTAGGATTGATAATTATGTTTCAAAGAGTTTGAAATTGAATAAAACTACTCATTTTTAGAATCCTTGTTTTGT